TTATTCACTGTTGCCTGCTCCATGTGTTTTGGTAAGTGACACAGGTTAGTTAAAGTATAATTTATTATTCACTGTTGCCTGCTCCATGTGTTTTGGTAAGTGACATGTGTTAGTTAAAGTATAATTATTCACTGTTGATGGTCGTACAGGTGTGATGTTGTTTAAAAGAATGTTAAACATGTGACAGTATTTGAACCTAACAACTAGTATTTGTGTGTTACTTTCATTAGCACATTTATTATAATAGTAAATTGACACACAGTGATTTAGAAATGTAATTAAAAACATTTTATTTAGTGAACATACTACATGTTTCAACAGAACATTGGCCCGTGTTCTTTTATAGAAAAAAAATACATGTATATACACACACACAAAGACAAAATGCACAAGGGTTTATGATCTAAAGTAATGTCATCTCCCGACAGTAGTGAAACTTGCAACAGGTTTATGACTTAAAGAAAACGTTAGGGCTGGTCAGGTGCATGACTGAAAACTAGGCGAATAAACTCAGCCAATTTTTGTGGCAGCTCATGAGGGGGTTAACACTTGATAATGGGTTAAACATTGTAGAGTTGGCAGTGGCAGCTCATCAGGGGATTAATGCTTGATAATGGGTTAAATACTGTAGAGCTGGCAGTGACGGCTCATCAGGGGGTTACCACTTGATAATGGGTTAAATACTGTACAGTTGGCAGTGACGGCTCATCAGGGGGTTAACACTTGATAATGGGTTAAATACTGTAGAGTTGGCAGTGGCAGCTCATGAGGGGGTTAACACTTGATAATGGGTTAAATACTGTACAGCTGGCAGTGACGGCTCATCAGGGGGTTAACACTTGATAATGGGTTAAATACTGTAGAGTTGGCAGTGGCAGCTCATGAGGGGGTTAACACTTGATAATGGGTTAAATACTGTACAGCTGGCAGTGACGGCTCATCAGGGGGTTAATGCTTGATAATGGGTTAAATATTGTAGAGTTGGCAGTGATGGCTCGTCAGGGGGTTAACACTTGATAATGGGTTGGAAGTTGTAGATCTGGTAGCAGTGGCTTATTAGCTGTCCCTAATTAAAACACTTAAACCAAACATTTTATCATTAATAATGGTTAGTGTAACTAATTGGTACTGGAGCTTCATTCATGAATTAAAACAGGAAACTATAAGTCAGAGTGTCCTGTTTCTATGTCAGTAGAAGGGCTTGTTAGACAAGCTGTCGATAATTTAACGATGAAGTAAGAAACAGATTTAACTAGTTGCAGGACGTGACGTACAATGATTTCATTTGGTAGAAAATGTAGCTGTGTATAGTGTGTGTGCTTCAACTGTCACCAGCCTCTACTGAGAGCTGGACGTCACTACTATGGAGGTAGCTGTGTATAGTGTGTGTGCTTCAATTGTCACCAGCCTCTACTGAGAGCTGGACGTCACTACTATGGAGGTAGCTGTGTATAGTGTGTGTGCTTCAATTGTCACCAGCCACTACTGAGAGCTGGACGTCACTACTATGGAGGTAGCTGTGTATAGTGTGTGTGCTTCAATTGTCACCAGCCACTACTGAGAGCT